CGCAATAACGGTGCCAACTTGGGCCAGTGAAGCAACGTCCTCCACAACTAGACTGAAGAACAAAACGACAGCAACTTGTCTGTTCCCATCCCCCCAATTCCCAAAAAAAATTTTAAAAAAAAAAAAAAAAAGAAAAAAAAAGAAAATTGCCACAAAGAAGTAAATTTGAATATATATACCCAGTTTGTTGATTCGATTTGTCTGGCAGCTGCTTCACCGAAACTGACTGTGATCAAACCCAAGTTGTGTTTTCATACATACATATGATCCCCATCAATGGACTCAGCATTCCGAGACCATCAGATAAGGAAGTTTCACTGAGGTTATTCCCTGGGGTCTTAGCACTCCAAGACACTTCTTTATGACATCAAAGGATCAGTGCGCAGGAGCATTTGAGTGGGCAGCTGCAAGGTGACAATACTTGAAAGAGAAACACGCATTTTTCCCCTTAATGTGATTTTCCCATCTGAGGTCTTACCATTAAAATGTATTATCAGCACTCTGTTTCTCTTTCTTCCCAAGAACATCCTATTTCAAGTTGCCGAGCACTGTTGTTTCCAAGCATTATAAAATGAACCCTATGTATAGATTAAAAACATAAATAGGAAATAAACAAACCTTGTTTCCAAAAAGCAATAAGTCCTCAGAAGGGGTATCAAAATGAGCACAAATTTAAACATTACTATAATTCTCAACTTTTTTTTCCAAAATTCATCCCCTCAGTCATCTCTTCTAGGATTTCTTTCCAGAAATTCTCCCCCAAATGCATTCTCTCAATATCTATGCACTCAGGTCCATCTCTAACAATTATGAGGTCTTAGGGGAGAGTTCAAAGAGAGATTCATATTTCTTTGACTAAATATGTGAAAATTTCTAAACAAGCTAACAAAATGCTAAATAAAATAGTTCTATCATCCTACCTTGACAAATACATATCAATAACATTTAGAAATATGCATATACATATATGTAGATTTCAGAGCAAGAAATATTGCTAGGAATAAAGGGGGTCATTTCATAATGATAATGGGTCAACTATTCAAGAGACTATAACAATCTTAAATGTGAATGATGATTGCTAAAAACTCTATTTTTGCGGCCGGCCCAGTGGCGCGATAGTTAAGAGCTGGCTTGGGATGCCAGAGGGCCACCGTTCAGATGCCACATATGAGGGCCAGTGACACTGCCCTCTGCAGTTAAGATGCTGAACAACAGCTTGACCTGGAGCTGGGCTGCCGAGCGTCCCCAGCGTCGTCAGCGACGGCATAGGCTGCAGCCCCTGCTACAGTGGGTAGCCAGTATGAGTGGCCAGCAGCCTCCGTGAGCAGCATCCAAAAGCCAGGGATTGATCTGCCTCATCCTGGAAGAGCGCAATGATGGTGCCAACTTGGGCCAGTGAAGCAACATCCTCCACAACTAGACTGAATCACAAAAGGACAGCAACTTGTCTGTTCCCCTCCCCCCAATTCCCCAGAACTGTTCCCATCCCCCAATTCTCCAATAAAAAGCTTTTAAAAAAAAACCAACAAACCTCTATTTTTGGCAAAAGTCATAAAATTTTACACTTAAAATTGGTCAGTATCATTAAATGTAAATAAACTTGCAATAAAGCTGATGAAAAAAATCTACAAGTGGATTGATCGTAGTGACTTTCACACGCAGTGTTGTATCTTTCCTGTGTTCTTTCTACAAGATAAATAAACTTAATGCTAGGTGAAGCCTACTGTCTCATTAGTTTGATTTTCATTCTGAGCATCGGACCACTACTAAGTAGGCAATGAGTACTGCAGTCATCAACTCCTCTAGTTCTCCCCATATAACTTTCAGATATTTATTCATTCTCTCTATCATTACCCCTAGGATAGGTACACATCATTCACATCATTCATTTCAGCAAACAGCCTATGAAGGGCACCTTGCTCTGTTTCAGACATTGTGCTCTATATATTGGAATTCAAAAATGAGGCTTTGCCCTTTCTCATAGGCTAATATAATTACAATCTAATGTGGCAAATGTTTATATAGATTAGTAATAAAGTGTCATAAAAATACAGAGAAGAGAATGATTTGTTCTGTCTGGGTGACCTTGGAAAAATATAATCATGAACGGTACCATCTCCTAAGTACTTATTAGATGCCAAGGAACATATCTAATCCTCCCAATAACTCTTCAAGGTGGGTAATATTATTCCCACTCTAAAACTGAGGAAGCAATCTCAAAAACCTTAAGGAACTTGCTCAAAGACATACAGGCAAGAGGCGGAGGAGATCTGGCTGATTCCCAGCTCCCTGATCTTTCTACCATATCTTGCTACTCATACAAGCAAATGACATGTAAGTAATTGCTTCATTCAAGTGCCAATAGATGAGCTTGATCTTGAGAGAACAGTTGGAATTTCTAGGGGTCAGGGGGAAAAAACAACTGCAAAAAGAGGGAGAAATGAGTGCCAACACTCGAAAGACTGGATGATCATTTCATGTTTAGAGAAGAGTTTATCATTCTGTGTAGGAGGAATATACTCATGTGTATGTGAGAGGCGGGGCAGAGATATATTGGAGAGAGAGTAGGTAACCATTTCTCAAAGTATTTTGTGCCCATTTTGAGTTTCTGTATTACATTTCACTTTCAATGCTACAGAATTATCTTGTTAAAATACAAATACAGCAATGTCACTCATCTTTGTAAAACTCTCAAGGTTTCTATTTTGCCCCTAGTGTAAGGTCCAAAGTTTTTAGCATGCCATGTGTGCCTTGTTTTCCTAATCTTTGAAATGGGTATATTTTGAATACCTATTGGGTTGCTTGGGCTACTGTAAGAAGATTTTACACACACACACACACACACACATACACACACACACACAATTCAGCCCTGATTTATATATAAAAACATATAAAATGTATGTTTTTACTAAATGTTAGTGATTATTAGTAATTGTAATTACTATGTTATTATTATTGCTATTCTTTGTACTATTATAGACAGTCTGGTATGTTGAGTCAGACAATCAGCAGAGACGTTTTGGTGAAAATAAGCAAAAAGTGTTAAAATTGAAATTAAAGTACTTCAATTGATGTTTTTGAAACTTAACACACTAGGAAGTGGGGTGCAGGTGGTAAGGTATTATGATTTTACTCTTTTCTTTATTTCCCTCTGGATGCCTGCCACAAACAACATCCTTAGTTGGATATAATTAGTAAGTATGACCCAACTGGCCAGAGGTAAAACACATTTTGCTCTGCTAATCTTTATTTTGGATGTAGTCTGCTGAGAACATTGTGAAGCTATCATCCTTATCAACAAGAGCATCAGAAACCAGAACTTCTGTCGGGAAAAGCACAGGAATTTACTGTAGCTCTTGTTTTGCAAACTTTCAGGGAGTGATGAAATTCAAATGGCATTACTTCAACATTTTTTTTTTCTGACTGGAAATTCTCAGCGGATAGTGTCTACAAACTAGAAATTTATTATATAGATAACAACCTCAACTGATGTAAAAATATCAATGAAGGGATATTTTTGCTTGTGGAAGTTCCTTTTCTAAATCTTGTGCACCAAGGATTTAATTTTACACAGTTACCCATGTATGTAAGAAACAAAAGTTTCACAAAATAATACCTAAGCTAATTATACGTGGTGCATTATGGTGTGTTCTCCTTTTTATTCTATCCTATTGTATTTAATTCCATTATATTTTAAAATACTAGTTAAAACCCACACAATTGATTCTATGACCCACTAATGTATCATGACTTGTAGTTTAAAAGCATTGTTCTAGTCTCTTGATGACAAAGCCAAGCTTTGACAGTCCATGGTGGAGTCCATGTCCTTGTTAATGCCTTCCAGCATTCTTGGAGTCAGTAGAGATAGGCTGCTTAGACCAGTGAGGCCCTAGGTGCACGCTGCCTATTATCTACCTCCAGTCTGATTATCAGACCCTGGCCTAGTGTTGGAAGTCCCTGGGCACTGTATACGGTGAAGCTTTTGGAGTTGAGATGGCACTGAACTGTCAACACTCTGGGGACTCGTAGCTGTCATTGCTCTTACATTTTTGTTTGGCTACTAGTATAAACTGGATTGAAGATTTTTTTCAAGTGCATTGTTTTCAAGGAGGGCTTAAAAAAATGAAATGCACTCATTAGACCTAAGATTTACATGGTTTCTCTCTTCCCCAATCACTTCTTTCTTTGTCCAGAGAAAGACTGATTTTGAGCCAGTGAGCTTCTGAGCCATACAGTTTGGGGTTTGAATTTTAGCTCCACTTTTAAGGTTCTCTGCCCCATTTTCCTCATCTCTAAAATGAGAATAATGATACCAACCTCATCGTATTCTTGAAATTATTGAAATGACATTATGAAAAGCTTAGGCACTGCATCTGACCCAGAATTGGGACCTAAGAAATAGTACTCTCCTTCCCTTTCTGTGGTGGTTTACCCCCCAGAACACATATCAGTTCCAAATCGCAGGGGCCACAACGCTTGAGCCAACAACCCACTAAGAACACCACAGATAAGAAGGATTTTTCTTCAGCAAAACCACAACCCAGTGCTATAATCAGTAGAGAAAACTTAAGCATGATGAATATAAGCTACATTTCCTAAAATATCAAATTTAAAAGCCTGCAAACCTTGTCAACCACAATGTTTATAAAACTATGATGTGTACAGTGTCTGGTGATTGAGAGGCTGTCTTAACTTTCTCTTTAGTTAAAAAAAAAAAGAATAAATAAACATAGTATATAGCCATGTCAATTATTTATTTCTTCACTGAGTCAGACCCAAGGGGACTGTCCCAGTGTCTGATTTTGTGTGGGTGGCAGCAAAACTTAAAAGCAAAGGAATCACCAAGCATTAACAGAGTTAGGACTATCAAATCTTAGTTATTAACAATGTTGGTCAGTCTGTCTTCTACACTGTGATTCCAAAGCACCATATGCCCACCACCATCAGCTCTCACTCTAAAATCTATTGAAATTATTTGTTTGTCCTGATCTGCTCCCCTTGAGGAGCAAACTGTATCTCCCCCACCTCCCATATATCTACACTCTAGGAAAATGCCAAAACACAGTAGATGCTAAAAAATTGTTTTTCAAAATTTAACCATAAGGAAAATAATGTGGTTAATATGAAAGTTTTTTGTTTTTTGTTTTTTTTCTGGGATAATCAACTCAACTGACAAGAACTGATTATGAGAAGTAATGCTACTGATTACCTAATTACTGCCCTGATCTCATTTACAACTCTCATAAAATAATTTATAGATGTGATAATCGCCCACCGTGTCATTACCATCAGCAAGGTTTCCTGTCTTTTTGCAGTTAAAAATGCACTCAAGAACTTTCAGGGTCATGCTGAGGATACCCTCATCTGTCCATCCACATCCTCCACTCACAATCACACAATCTCACAAAATGTGCTCCCTAAATAGTATTTAATTATAGTCATACATATTTAAGGTAGAGTGTATCACGTATGATACATAACAAACCATCCTCCCTCCCTTGTCCTCCACATTTTCCACCCATCTGTCCTAATTGGATCTCATGGTTCTTTAACCTCCTCCTCTTCCAAACCTTCA